ATTCCCATAAGACTGTCAGCTGATTTCTCAAAAGAAACTTTGCAGGCTAGAAGGGATTGGCAAGAAATATTCAAAGTCATGAAAAGCAGGAACCTACAGCCAAGATTGCTCTATCCAGAAAAGCTATTATTTAGAATCAAAGGGCAGTTAAAGAGTTTCCCAGGGAAAAAAAAACTGAAGGAGTTCATCATCACCAAACCATTATTATATGAAATGTTAAAGGGACTCATTTAAGAAAAAGAAGATCAAAACTATGAAAAATAAAATAGCAAAAAGTACATACCTATCAACAACTGAATATAAAAATAACTAAGCAAACAAGAAGAACAGACAGAATCATGAATAAGGAGAACATTTTGATGGTTGACTGGTGGGGAGGGGGTGTGGGGCAATAGGTGACGAGGTGAGGGGATTAAGAAGTACAAACAGGAAGTTACAGAATAGCCACGGGGATGTAAAGTACAATGTAGGAAATGGAGTAGCCAAAGGGCTTATACGCAGGACCCATGGACATGAACAATGGTGGGGGGATTGCCTGAGGGAGCAGAGGGTGCTGGGTGAAGGGGGGCAAAGGGGGAAGAGCGGGACAACTTAATAGCATAATCAATAAAATATAATAAAAATTATAAAAAGATTTTTAAAAGCACAATAGTGTATAAACAAAGTACATCTCCAGGTGGGATTCTCCAAGAGTCTCCAATATGCACGTGCACTGTGCCCTTTCTCAGGCGGACAGGAGTGTGTCTTCCCCTGCACAGATGGAGGTTTCTGGCTGGGGTAGGGGGAGGGAGAGGGGACATGGGCTTTGTGCAGATCACGTATTGCATCACCTCATGTAATCCTCACAACAAAGCTTCAAGGAAAAACACCGGCCCGTTTTCCAGTGGAAAACTGAGGTCCAGAGAGGGGGAATGACTCACCAGGGTGCTCACAGCCAGGAGACCACCGCAATTCCAACCCTGTCCCCCACATCTCCCGCACGGAGTGGGTACAGACAGGTAAGGCACCCGAACAGGGCCAGCCACAGAAGGCACTGTACAGCTTTGTGGTATAATCAGTGATATCATTATTATGAGTAACTTATTGAGCCCTGGGGTTCCAGGCACCAGAGACTGAGTGGAAACCAAGAAGGACAAGCTCTCAAGGTTTGCACACAGCGGGAGGGAGACACAAACAAGAACGTAAATGAATTAACAAGTTCAGTGAGGCACATGTTGCAAAGCAAGTGAAGTGACCAGCATGACCTAGGGGAGCAGGAACTGCCCTCTTTCCCAGCCTCTTGCTCCCCACCCCGACTCCCCACGGCCTTCCCCTGGGAGGCAGGTGTGTGTTCAGTATGGCTGAATTCCCCCGGAGTCCAACCCAACAGGTCTCGTTTTCTTCCACAAACTGTTAAACCAGAAGCTGAGTTTTAAGACTTCAAGAAAGACCCAATCTGCAAATATTTACTTTTCTTTTTTTTCCAAATACATTTGTCTCTGCCTTCCCCCTACCACTTTCCCCTTCTCCCTCCCCGCTCTCCCTCCCTCAATCCTTCCCCACTTTGCTTTTGTCCATGAGTCCTTGCTGTATGTTCCTTGACTTGCCCCTTCCCTTCCTTTTCCCCCCGCACCACAGAAGTGTCAACTGTGGTTATTAATATGACTATTGAAGTCCTGATACCTAAAACGCCACCTCCACCTTGTCCTGAGCTAAACATTCCCCAGCTCTATATACCTCTTGTCTCTGTTGGTTTCTTTTCCTTTCAGTGTTGCTGGTCTTATTTTCCTTGCATCTTTGTTTTGTTGGTTAGGTTCTGCTTATAGGTGAGATCATATGGTATTTGTCTTTCGCCCCCTGGCTTATATTTACCTTTCATTCAGCATCTTCCAACCCTCCCCTCTCAGTCCTCTCCTTGGGGTGCCCCATTAAAATGCCCTCCTTGGGGACGACACATGCAGTTTGATTCCAGAAGTTTCTTCTAGCAAGAGAGCCTGCTCAGTCAGGAGGTGTAGACTTCCCCCACCCCAAACCCAGGATGTGTTCATATTGGCCCCCACATGTGCACACACGCACCTTTCTTCCATATACCACCTCATCCCAAAGCCCCTGAAAACCTTTCAGAATCTTCCCACCTGCTCCTCAGACCTGCAATAGGCTCGCTTCTGCACAGAAAAATCGAACAGGACCCAGGTGGGGTGGGGCAGCGTTTCGGCAGAACAGCAGGAGAGGCCCGGAGACGGTGGGCTCCACACCTGGCTCACGGGCTGACAGGAATGACAGTGGTGGCAGGGGAACCCTGCCCCTTCTCCCAGGGCCCGTATCCTCCCATACCCAGCTCTGCATTTAGGGCCTGACTCACACCTCACCTGCCCTCATGCTGCGAGCCTCAGTGGACTCCCCTGAGCGCGGGCAGAGACTACCAGTCCTGGGCAGCCACACACCACAGCGATTGACCTGGTTCCAATCCAATTCTTGCACTCACCAGCTGTGTGACCTTGGGCAAGTCACTTCACCTTTCTGTGACTTGATTTTGCAACTATAAAATGGGATACAATAATACCTCCTACCTCACAGAGGTGCTGTGGAATTAACATCTAAAGCATTTAGAGGAGTGCCTGGCACCGGGCAAGCGCCACAGAAGTGTCAACTGTGGTTATTAATATGACTATTGAAGTCCTGATACCTAAAACGCCACCTCCACCTTGTCCTGAGCTAAACATTCCCCAGCTCTATACTTCGCATCAGTAGCAGAAGCGACAGGAATTTGCACACACAAAACTCTCCCCATGTGCCTGGCGCTGCCCAGCACGCGTCACCTGCCTTCTCTGGTTTGAGACTTCCCAGCATGCCAAGAGCGCCGGCTCCCCGCCGTGGGTCAGAGGAAACCCGCCCAGAGGGCCTTCACGCCTGCCCGCTCCCCCCAACTCCCACAGCAGCAAAGCGACAGAACTGGGGAACTCACTGAGGCCGGGGGCCTGCTCTTTCTACAGCACCTCTGCCCCCTGAGGGGTAGGAAACAGTGCAGGTGGGGCCGCTGACGTCTTGCCTGTGCCCCTGGCTGCGGTCTAGGGGATGCTGGCTACTGCAGGATTCCAGCCCTGCTGCCGGGCCTCCTGCAAACCTGTGCAGAGATCTGTCTGCGCGCTCTGAGCTCTTTGCAAGGAAGACACATACAGCACCCCCACCTCCAAAAAAAAAAAGGAAAAGGGAAAGGGAAAATTAGGACAGCCCAGTTAAACTGAAATGGTCTCCTCAGAGAAGAAGGAAAATAATTTGATGAACCTCTGTTAACATTCAAGTTATAATGTGTAAAGTGAAATCTGCACATAGGCTGCAAGGCATTCTCTCCGGCGTCATTGGGACCGTTCAAACTGGGGCACCAGCAAACGGCAGCTTCTTGGTAAGAAGCGCTCCCGTTTTCTGCCTCAGCAAAACAACGTTGCCCATGGATGTCCCAGTCTCTCCCAGAGCCAAGGTGACAACTGATGCAGTGTTAATGGGGCCGTTTTAGACATCAGGCTGTTTATATGGCTTCTATAAACATTTCACGAGGGCCTACAATGGGTCCCGTGCTATGCAGTCGTTGCCTCCTTCCTGAACACTAGGCCACAGCTGTGGCCACAGCTGTGGGCGAGGCAGGCCCCTGTGCCAGGTTAGCCTGACCTCCCTGGCCGCAGCTGACTGGCTGGGGTCTGACACCTGACCTGGAACTTTGGTGTGGGGGTGTTGGGATGCTGAATCTGCCCGACAATGGTGGGGATTGAGCTGAAAGGACATGAGGCAGTCGGGGCTGAGGTCTCCAAAAAAAACAATTCAGACGATTGCACACATAGAAAATTTAAGGAGCACCTCCTAGGTTCCTGGCCTAATTCTAGGTGCTCAGAGTACGGTGACAATACAGCAAAGCCCTTCTATCAAGGAGCTCATAGTCTACAAACTATCAAACAGATAAATAAATAGAATAATGTTAGATTATATAGATACTATGGAAAAAATAGCAATGGATTAAAGAGCGACTAGGACAGGGTGTCTGGGGGTGTGCAAATTTAGACCAAATGACTAAAGGAGACCTCACTGAGCAGAGACTGGAGCGAGCCAGCCAGGTGAGCATTTCAGGCAGGGGGGCAAAGGCCCTGCGGTGAATCTGAGCTCACAGTGTTCAAGAAACAGAAAGGAGTCCCACGTGGCAGAGGAGAGACAATGGCATCAGAGAGAGGTCCCTGCAAGGCCCCCGCCACGCAACTCCTTGGACTGAGCCCCTTCCACATGCCCCACAGAGAGTCCAACTTCTCAACACTGCCCAGCCTCACAGCCTCCTTTCCTTTTTACCTCCTCAGGCTCAGCGACCTTTTACTTTCCTGCCACTGAAAGACATTATTGCACGTCCAATTACTCCCCCAGAAGCCAACCGTATGATAAGAATTTGGGTAAGGTAGTTTATTTAGGAGGTGGTCCCAGGAACTTCGCTAACCATCTGCCTATCTGTCTTCCCACCCATCTGCCATCCATCCATCATGCATCCCTATAGCCACCGTCGTTCATGCATGCAAGCATCTGCCCTTGCATACACCCAACCATTCAACCATCCATCCACTATTTATTCTCACCTCCTCTATTCCCAGCTGGACACTGAGGACTCAGGAGATCAGATTTGGTGCCTGACCTTGAGGAGCCCTCCTCCAGCAGCTATAACCAGCCCCACTGCTGGGTCTTCTTGTCACTCAGGGCTGTGACAGAGTCCAAGATGGAAACCTTGGTTCAGCCTTTGCATGTCCCTATCTTGGTTCTAAGAAGTCTGGAGTCAAATGGCAGACATTCCATCTTAATTCCCTTCCTGGTTTCTCAGGCTCTGATTCCCTAAGCTCAAGGCAGTCACATGCCCCATAAGACATTAAAATGTCCCAGATATTCCAACACAGTGGAGTCCAGACTCTGCCTCACCCAACCTGCCCCCTCCACCCCACATACTACCCCCAGAACACTTCTATTAGTGGCCAGAGGTGACCCTTTGCACTGACCTCTCCCGGAAATACTTGATGGCCTCAGGGTCTATGAAGGTCGGCTCCTCCCGGTAGCCCTGCTCAAATACCTTGCGCTTGTGCCGGAACTCAATGACTGTCTTGGTGTAGGAGTTGAGCGTGGTGACAGAGGCTGCCATGCAGCAGGTGAAGGAGCCCCACGCCAGGCTGCCGAGAGACAAGGAGAGAGGCGTCAGTGAGGGGCGGCGGGAAGCCCCACCTACCACACATCCTTGAACCCTGCACGCTGCCTCTTCTGGGCCAGGCCTAAGCAGGTGCCGCTGTACAGAAGAGCAAGGTTTGGTCCCTGCCCCCATCACGGTCCGGCGTGGGAGACAGCATTATCTGTACATTGCGACGCAGATATGACAGAGTTTATTATTAGGAGGCAGAAAGAGAGCAAGTCATTCCATTCAAGGGGGCTGACAACGGGGAGGGTTACCACTGTACAACTGTGCTTGCGCTGGGGCTGGGAGGATGAGGAAGGGTTTGCCAGGGGAAAGGGCATTCCAGGAAGAGAGAAGCGCGTGTGCAGAGGCATGGAGGCATGAGGTGCAGGGCACATTCCACAAACTGTAAGAGATTTGGGATGCTAGCGTAAGGGAATGTGAGATTAGCAGAAGTCGATGATGAGAATAGATGGGGACCAGAACCCTAAAAGCTGGTTTTCTGTGAGAGTTAAATTACCTTTGTTCATGTGCGACCTTGGGCAAGGTGCTTAAGTTCTCTGCCTTGTCTTCTTCATATCCATTTTAATGGGCACAACAACAGCTCCACCTCTCAGGGCTGTTTCCAGGATTAAAAGAGATGAACAGAGCCTGGCACCTTGCAAAGGTTTGCTATCGTTGCGATTGCCACCATTATCAACATTTTTACTGCCCACTTCTATCTGACTCAGTTTCCAAGCTCGTCCTCGGAGAGATTAAATTATAATGACTTTCATGGCTCCACCCTTCCTCCACGCCCAGCTGGGGACTCCTGGCTGTGCTCAGCTAACGTGTATGCTGAGCCGCTGGAGCTGGAGAGCCACACCAGACAAGAAGGGAAGGGTAGTGTGGGGGCTAGGAGCCTCAGCTGGCCAGTGCCCACTCTAGAAAGGGCCTCCCGCCTGACTCTTCTGAGCAAGACTGTGCGGTGACATTTATAACCAGGGATGTTGCACCCGCCTTGCGGTACTTAAACCTGGTCTGGTGGCTGGGTCCCTGTTCCCCAGTCTCTGCCTTGATGACCGGTTTCCTCCTAATCGAGGGCTCAGTTTTGTTGTTGCCAACCCTGCACTGCCCCTGAGCCCCCAGCCTCTCCCTCCACCAACCCATAGGGTCTCTCAACATCACTGCCCCTGCCCCGCTCCGAGTGAGTGCAGCCCGCCCCCTGCACCACGGCTCTGCTTTGTCAGCCTTCGCGCTCCCAGAAGGAAGCACGGGGGAGTCTGAGGATTCAGCCTGTCTCCCAGGGATCCCCAATCATCATCTATTGCTTACTGCCCAACCCATGAAAGGAGTTCCTTCGGGATAAGGAGCTAATTTACGTAGGTCTTCCAGAAGCTCTGACTATCTGTAATCGACAGCGGAGGGGTGTCAGCCTGGCCCCTCTGAGAACTGCCCTGTCCACCGAAGGGCCCAGTAGGTGACTCCACCCTCTGCTCATAGATGATTGGATAAGGCCTGAATGTCTGACTAAAGCTAGTTCAACCAGATAATCCCTCTTCTGAGCAAGGAAGTTCAAGATTCTAGTTCAATCTGGGATGTCTGTTTGAGCTAGAGGGATGGAAATTGAGAGCCTGAGGACACAGAATGAAGCAGCAGGCTTTTTTCCTGGGATTCCATGAGTATACACATGCTGGTTTTCGCAGACGGGCATCCACTCTGTTAAGGGAGCACTCCTCCCCTCTCTCGGACCCTGAGGTGTGGGGCTGGCCTCGCTCCCAGCGCTGAGGAGTGAGCGCACGGCCTAGGCCTGGCCAATGGGAGCGTCCCTTCTCTTTGAACACAGTAATTGGTTCAGGATGAGCACGTGACGTCAAAGTTAGGCTAATGAGACTCAACCCCAGGACTTCGACTGGTGTCGTCAGGAAACAGGGCTCTCCTTTCGTCGGCGGTGGGAGCCAGGAGCCTTTCCGGACGGTGTTACCGCCACGCCAGCGGACAGTGAGGCTGCCTCAGAGCGAAGGAGCCGGATCCCTGAGCCGAAGCCGTTATCCCTGGGCTTTCCCGTGGTGAGAACCCAACTTCCTTTTCTGGATTTGTTTTTCCTTAAGCCAGTTTGAACTGGACTTCTGTCACTGGCAACCAAAGTTCTTATACAACACTTTCTATAAGTCCTCTCTTTTGCATGTTAGTTTTAAAGTGAATTTCTAGTCTCTACGACCGGGGATCTTATCTATGACCAGGTTCAACTCCCAACTCTGAGGGCCCGACCAGAGGAGACGCAGCTCTCCCCATTGCGTTTCATCACGGCCCTCAGCACACCGTGGGATTCTCGTATTTATTATTCTTTATTTTGAAATTAAACATTTTATTTCAAGATAATATAGATGCAAATGTTGTAAGAAATAATACAGAGAGATCCGTGTACCCTTTACCCAGTTTCTCCCAATGGTAACATCTTGCAAATACAGTAAACAACCAGGTGCTGACCCTGGTACAGTCAAGGTACAGAGCATTTTCATCCGTTACCACAAGGACCCCTTCATTGGCCATTTTATAGCCACACCCACTTTCCTCCCAACCTTTGGCAACCACTTCTATAACTTTGCCATTTCCCGAATATTATAGAAATGGAATCACACAGTATGTATGTTTGGGATTGACTTTTTCACTCAGAATAATTCTCTGGAGAGCTATCTAAGTTGCGTGTATTAACAGCACATTCCTTTACATTGCTGAGTAGGATTCCTACCAGCAATGTATGCATTTCTCCACATCCTCACCAGCATTTGATGTTGTCATTATTTTTTAATTTTAGCTATTCTGGGAGGCAGGTAGTGATATCTTGTTGTAGCTTTCATTGCATGTCCTTAATGGCTAATGGTGTTGAACATCTTTTCATTGGCTTATTTGCTGTGCATTGTCTCTGATAAAATGTCTACTCATGCTTTTTGACCACTTTGCTGTTGTTGTTTACTGTTGAGTTTTAAGTCTTTTTATATATCCCAGATAGTAGTCCTTTGTTAGATATGTGATTAACAAATATTTTCTTTCAGTTTCTCTTTTCAACCTCTTAAAAAGGTCTTTCACAGAGCTAAAGTGTTAGATTTCAATGAGATCCAATTTATCAATTTTTCTGATGCTTTTGATGTCAAGTCCAAGAACTCTTTGTCTAGGCCTAGATCCCAAAGACTTTCTCCTATTTTTTAAAAAATTTTTACAGGTTTACATTTTATATTGAGGTCCATGATTCATCTTGAGTAAATTTTATGCAGGGTATGATATTCAGAACAAGATCGATTTTTTTTTCTTTTTGCCCATGAATGTCTAATAGCTCCAGCACCATTTGTTGAAAAGACTATTCTTGCTTCCACTGAATAGATTTACATCTTTGTCAAAAACCAGGTGAGCCCTGATTGGTGTGGTTCGGTTGATTGGAGCATCATCTTGTAACTGAAAGGTTGTGCGTTCAGTTCCCAGTCAAGGCACATACCTAAGTTGTGCGTTTGATCACTGGTCATGATAGGTACTGGAGGCAACCAATCAATATTTCTCTCACATTGATGTTTCTCTCTCTCTCTCCCCCCCCACCCCCTCCCTTCCTCTCTCTCGAAAAGCACTGGAAAAAAAAGGCCACTAGTGAGGATAAAAAAATATAATAAACTAAAAAAGAGAGTTGGGCATATTTGTGTGGGTCCATTTCTGGGTTCTTTATTCTGTTCCATTGATCTCGGTGGCTATGTCTCCATCAACACCACACAGTCTGATTACTGTAGTTATACAATAAGTCTTGAAATTGAGAACATTGATTTCTCCCACTTTATTCTCCTTTTTCAAGATTGTTTTTAGCTATTTTAGTTCCTTTGCCATTCCTAATAAGATTTATAATAATCTTGTCTATATCTATAAGAAATTACCCTGACATTAAATAATAGGAATTGCATTAAACCTGTATGCCAACTTGAGGAGAATTGACATCTTTACCATTAACAGGGTGTATCTCTCCATTTATGTACATCTTCTTTGATTTCTTTCATTGGCATTTTGTGGTTTTCAGCCTGAAAATCCTGAAGGTGTTTGGTTAGATTTATGACTGAGTATTTTGGCTTTTTTCAGTGTAAATGGTTTTGTATTTTCACTTTCATCCAATTGTTCATTGCTAGGTATAGAAATATAATTGATTTTTGTGTTCTTATCTTATATCCTGAGATAGTACTGAATTCATTTATCAGGTCTAGGCATTTTTTATGTGTAGTTTTCCTGAATTTTCTGTATAGTCAACCATGTTATCTATAAATAGGTATAGTTTACTTCTTCCTCTCTAGCCTATATGCTTTTTATTTACTTCTCATGTCTTATTGCACCAGCAAGAACCTCGAAAACTAACTCTTGTGGAGTGCGGGTGCTGTTCCCAATCTTAGGGAGAAAGCACATTCTTTCCCCACTGAGTGTGATATTGGCTGTACGTGTTTAGGTAGATGCTCTTTATCAAATTTAAAAAGTTCCCCTCTATTTTTAGTTTTCTGACAGTTTTATTTAATCATGGGTGGAAGTTGAATTTTGTCGAATATGTTTTCAGCATTGGTTGATATGAGCATGTGGTTTTCCCCTTTACGCCCCTTTACCCTCCCCCATGAGCAACATGATTGCCTTAGGTATTTCCTCTGTGTTCATTCAGAACTATATCAGACTGTCTGGTAATCTTCGCTTCAAGCACCAAGAATGATTTAGAAAACACAAGGGAAAAGTAAAATGTTCTTTCTTCTTTCCTGTTGTTCCAAGATGGCTTCTTTTTAAAAAAAAATTTTTTTCTGTTTAGAAGAGAACTTCCTTTAGCCCTTCTTTTCAGGTAAGTCTGCTGGCAACACATTGTTTAAAGTTTTCCTTCACCTGAGAATGTCTGGATTTCCCCTTGCCTTTCCTGGAGGATATTTTTGCTAGAAATAGAGTACTGAACTGACTTTTGTTTTTTTTTTCCTTCAGCACTTGAAACACACTGTGCCCCTTCCTCTAGCCTCCATT